TCATTATCTATAGAATATAACAAGCATAAATCGCGCATATTTTTTTCTGAAAAATTTATTATTACTCATAGGTTCGAAAAAGATATATAGTGAAGCTAGTATCGAAGACACTTAGTTATCCGGTCAAAGATATATATTGTTAACTATAATTTTCTAGGTGCGAATTGATTCTGTTTTTTTTGAAAGTATAGTTTCATCTAATTTGCGTAGTTCATAATACTCCATAGTGTATTGAATTATTTAAGAAATATAGTTATTCGCAATACCTAAAAAATTTTTTTGAATGGTGCAATATGCCTACAATACGGTTTATTTATTTGATAAGCAGTTCACATTGCATTTACAGAGGTGCATAATTAAAAAACAAATATAGACGAAAACTTTATTTTCAGTGAATGCTAAACTAATACTTACATACTATTACCGTACATAGAACTGACATAACCAATAAAAAGTAAAAAGAAAAAGAAAAGACATAACACAACCGAGAAGTCTCGCAGTTCAAAAATAATTCTATAATGTAATAAAAGGAGAAGTATGAGTATTCTACAGTTTATTGGGCTCATAAAATATGTAAATACTATCTCCTACCATTGGCTGGGTCTTGTATAGTGATTGATAGGAGTGGCACCTTTTTTATTTGAAAATTTACCATTTTCATCTCTTTTTTGTCCTACTGCTTTTATTTGATTAGGTGTTAACGTAGGAGGATACACATGTCTGTTTTGATTGTTTGGAGGAGGATTGTTTGCACGAGGATTGTTTGCACGAGGATTGTTCGTATTGTTCGGCATAATATTATATTTCGTATGCAGGGTAAAATTTGGCAGTAGAAAATAATATTTATAAGAACGAAAATGATTTTAGTGGACATTATATAGTCGTCGTCTTAATCAAAATATATGATTATCTTAATCTAACATCTTTATGTAATTGATTGCGTGATTGTTTTTTGCAAATGAATATCCAACTAAATTATGTGATTTATTCTCATAACAGATACGGCGTGAAATAATTAACTTTAAAGGTAAATTTAATGTAGTTAAGCTGACAATTTTTCATAAATATAAATGCATTAT